CCAAAATCGCTTAGGCGGTTACAGCGCCAAAAAAGAAGAGAAGAAGAAGGTTGGTGTTGTGGAGCGAATCTCTTCATGCTGCACACTCATTGGGGATGTGAAGTCGAGTCTGTTTAGGTAGGAGTTGAGACGGCTGCAATATCCACACCTCAATTGGGCCATAGTTACACGGATCTCTCGAGGCAGTTGAAGCGCGCTGTCGTTCTCAGGTGGTGATTGAACAATAATTATGGCATACACAAGCCTACCTTCCTGTGAATGCCGTTAATAGTTAGTCTATTTCATTGAAACTCGGGCTAAAACCTGTGGAACTGTCAAACTAAAATTTTACTCTCTCAAGTGAGAGTAGAAGGAGAACAGATGCAGACGTGCATTNGAAGGACTTGGCTTCACTTGGCGTTTCCAATTGGCGTCAGTTGGCACAGAGGAGAAACGACTGGCGTGCTTTGCTGAACTCGGCCAAAATCGCTTAGGCGGTTACAGCGCCAAAAAAGAAGAGAAGAAGAAGGTTGGTGTTGTGGAGCGAATCTCTTCATGCTGCACACTCATTGGGGATGTGAAGTCGAGTCTGTTTAGGTAGGAGTTGAGACGGCTGCAATATCCACACCTCAATTGGGCCATAGTTACACGGATCTCTCGAGGCAGTTGAAGCGCGCTGTCGTTCTCAGGTGGTGATTGAACAATAATTATGGCATACACAAGCCTACCTTCCTGTGAATGCCGTTAATAGTTAGTCTATTTCATTGAAACTCGGGCTAAAACCTGTGGAACTGTCAAACTAAAATTTTACTCTCTCAAGTGAGAGTAGAAGGAGAACAGATGCAGACGTGCATTGGAACGCAAAAAGCACTATTTCCTGTAAAAACGTCAGTAGGTTTGTTTACATGTCATTTGTACAACACTGATTTGGCTGAAATCTCACTAACTAATTATTAAAATCTATACATATTCAAATATTTCGTTGTTTACTTCCTTTTTAACCGACTTCCAAATAAGGAGGAGGTTATCAGTTCGTCGGAATCTTTTTTTTTTTATGTATGTTGCCGCATAACTTTGGACCACGTAAATGGCTACTAGCCTTATCGTGGAGAAAATTTTCATGTCAGGCAGGATTGTATGAAATTGGGCCGATTTCGCTTATTTTTATTTTAAACGAAGAAGGGATTTTCTTCATAAAATGTTCGTTATAAATGTCTTATTCTTAAGTGTGAAGTTTTATTCGCAAACTTAGAAAATAAAAAATTGTTTCACTGTTAAGACTCTTAAGATGCGTTTGTGTTTTGATATAGTGCCAACAAACAGAATTACATGTAGATATTGTCTTCCCAGATAGCGCATATTCAATTCCGCCTAAATTAAAAAGCATAATTTTTGCCCACTTAAGGTAATGGAAAAATTGATATTTTCCAGCAC